TGTCAAGACTGAGGACCCGAGTTCTGTTCCCAGGATTCACATGCTGGAAAGAGAGAACCAATTCCAGCAAGTAGTCCTCTGACAGCCATATGCATGTGCAGGCAACTCCAACATCTAGACACAAAATAAGTAAATAAGTGGAATAAAAATTTTTACTGATAGGACAGGCAGTAATACTCTTGATACTGCCCAGTCCACTGTTCCTTGCTATGTACTTGATAAATGTGTTTTCTCTATGTGTAGTGTATGCATGTGTGCATGTAACACACGGGCATGTGTGACGAACCAAGGAGGACACCGGGTGTCCTTTTCTATCACTCTCTTATTCCAGCAATAACTATTTACTACCTTTCAGGTTTCTTTCTCAAAATATTAAAACATGAAACTGGTGATAAATGTCTGTATAACCAATCTCTGATTGGATTACAAATTCCACTCATTTGGTAACAAAGTTCAAAAAGGTTATTTAGTATACAAGGTTAAACATCTAAGGTGAGACCTGAAACTACAGATACACTAATTGTAAATATATTATCTTCATTATACTAAAAAAAATCTGTATACCTACTTCATAAAACACTTTCTCATTTTTATAAATGCAAACAAATAAACCAAACCCCCAAACAAATAAACCCCCACTCCTTTCACCTTCACAAACAACATTAGCAGTTTAAGGAATTGGTTGATGAAATATTAGCAACGTAATTTTAAACATGCTACAAGAAGGCACATACATGTTAAATGAACAGAAGAGAATAAAGAAAAAACTTCAAACACATTTTATCATACATGCTAAAACTAGCATTTCAAATGAGTGTGTTTGAAACACTCAATGGTATCAAAATATATGGCTAATTAATTGGATAAATAATAAAAAGCTATATATACACCCTCTTATCTTTCTTGAAAGTGAAATAACTCACCAGAAGTCAAACGTAAATCTACATGAAAACATAACTACCTATAAAAATAGGTACTGAGTGAGAATATTTAGTGTAAACATAACTAAAAACAGAGGCTACAAACGAAAAAGTCAATAAAGATACTGAAAAATTCTAGAAGGCCTAAAAGTACTATGAAATAAACATGACAAAAAAAATTTACAACTAATACAACAAATGGCTGATTTTATATAAGGACAATCTACAATTTAATGAGCTGAATAAGAGATTGAAGAAGATAAATGACCTAAAACATATGAAGTTTACTCAACCTCATGAATAAAACAAGAAATTTAAAATAGTTAGATACCATTTTAATCTAACAGCTTAATAAATACTTTAATATGTCCCCAAACCTAACTTCTGCAATACCTGATAGTATCAGGAAATTCGGGTGCCCAAACTCTATTAGCGGGAGTAAAAAGTAGTACTTTTTTTTTTTTTTTTTTAAGACAGGCTCTCATTCTGTAGCCTAGGCTAGTCTAGAATGCACAGGCCCCTCAAACTCAAAGTGATTCTCCTGCCTTAGCCTTCTGAGTGCTGGGATTATACCACAAGGGCAGTCACTTTCGTGAAAGGGCATCATACCAAGCAACAGTTCTCTTCTGAAAGGGCATTGAACAATAATAAAACCAGAGACAAATAAATCAGATAAAGAACATCCATGCTATTCAACAGAATGTAGAAGTTAATATCTCAGACACATTTAAAGAAAACAAAGGTAGAACAATAGGTTTAGTAAGCTACTACTAGTATTAAACAAAAAGTGAACCAATAAAGAAATGCTTGTCTCAGCATTCAAATTTTTCAGGAAGGACAACCACAAATGTACCTTTGGTTGTTTCTTGAGTGCAGGAATAAGAATAAAGACAACCATTCACTTTGTGACTTTTGGATGGCATGAGTATTTTTCATCATGTTCACTGTTATTTAAGAAAAAGAATTTTTTAAAAGTTTAACTATTCCATAAACATTTGCTTTTTGTGTTTGTTCACAACAGGGTCTTTGCAGTCCAAGCTGGCCTTAAACTCTGAATATTCCTTGCCTCAACCTCCTAAGTGCTAGGATTGTAGGCCGACACCACCATAACTAACTAACATTTGCTCTTGATTACAACAAACATATAACAAGTTTTACAGCCAAGGGCTCAATCTTAAGCATGTAACTATCAACTTTAATAATTGAGAAATTCAACTTTCTTTTGACATTTATTCTACATACAGACAGCTCTTTTTTACAAAGTAAAGGATACTGTTTTTCTTTTCACCCACTTATTCCTAATTCAACTACCTTAAAAATGAATAAATTCTCCCAGGTAATAGTTTCTTTAAATTATTTCACCAAGGTATCACATAGCCAAAGAACATCACTTTATATCACTAACTCATTAAAGCTAGAACCGGAGTGGATTAGGCTAATAATGAATTAGACTGTACAACAAAAGGGAACTCATACACTAAGATCTACCAATAAATATTTTAAATTTTCTACAGCATAAGTACAACTCTTACTCAGGCCTGGTGACTCAAACTTGCAATCCCAGTTAATCAGAGGAATGAGGCAGGAGGATTACAAGTTCAAGGCTTGGGTATCTTAGCGAGACCCTGTCACTAAATAAAAAGTAAAGAGGGCTGAGGAAATAGCTCAGGGGTAGAAAACTTGTCTAGCATGCTTGAGGCCCTGGGTTCAACCTTCAAAATCACACACCCAGAGATTCTTCTAGCCAAGATTTGTTCAAATATGAATACTATCAATTTCATGAGGTTACCATGTGAACAAATTAAACAAATATTTACTCTGTCTTCAGAGAGGAAGGGACAGAGTCAAGAGCCCATATTAAAGATAAAAATAACAAAGAGCATTATCATTATCCTTTTTGAAATGTAACTAAATACATATCTAAAAATTTCATTCTTAAAAGTTCATTATATTCAGTTACATTTTGTAATTTCCTTGACAAACAAAATAAAAAGAGACTATGAACTCCAAAAAAAAAAAAAAGAAAAAAGAAAGAAAGAAACAGACTGAAAGTTGGAAAAAAAAATCAGGAAGCTAAATGCTAGTATTTTTCCCTAACATCTACTCACTTATTAATTTCTATTTTTTTTTTTTTTACTACTACTCAGCCCAGTGAATACAGCCACTGGTCACATCTAAATCTTGCCTTTCAAAGTATTTTAATTGTTTCATTTTCCTTGACTACATACTTCATTAAAATTTTGTACACAAATACACTTATAACACAAATATCTACAATGAACTATTGCTTTTTTCCTGAGAAGAAGCAAAGAAGTATTAGTATTTTTCTTTCACACGAAAAATCCATGCACAGATCTATAGTTTAAGAAAAAATAATTGTATTTACATCTACTCTGGGAATGCTACTACTACTTAGGAAATAAAGATAAAATTTAAATCTTCCTTATTTTCACATCAACTATCAACATATATTTTCAGAGTCAAGTACTGCAATTCATAGGCAAAAGAATGGGAGCAAGTTGGAAAGGACAACAGAAAGATATTTCAAGGTCATAAAACACTTCCACTCTATTATGTCCACACAAAAACAATCTATCTCAAAAGAAAAAACACACTCAAAATATTAAAACTAGATAACAGTGTCAAAAACTTTAACTTACCACATACTGGTCAAAATAAATACTGAGCCTTTATAATCCAAATATTTCTTAGAAATTATCTCCAGAAGGGGGTAGTAGTTTCACTGTTAATACTTCAGTTCCTGGTCTACTAATTTGATATCCAATCAGGATTTTTTTAAACTTTGAATACACACGGGAGAGGTGTACAGAATATATAAAAAAGACAGGAAAATACTGCAAGTTTTCCTTAAATGTGTAACATAAATAATACATAAATAAACACAGATAGTAAAAGAAACCCCACGGATACTTTATTAAATTTTTATAAGCAATTCTAGTCTAAGAAAATTTGGTATTTGAGTGGATTATTAAATCTGCACTGTTTTTGGCTTAGTATACCCACTTTTTAGATTTCAAAGGCAGTAACTTTCTTAGCTAATCTCTGTTTAAGTATCCTGCTTTAGCTGCCACATTCTCACTTTTGATTAAATATACCCAGGCATGCTGGCCACTGTTGTTGTTGTAGTAACACGCTTTGATCCCAGCACTTGAGTTACATGCTTAAAAAGTCAACTGCTTGTCTCCAAACATGTTTATGCCAACTTAACTGTTCTTAATATTAACTCAACATTATTTTGTTTAGTTTTGTTTTCGGTCTTTTTGAGACAGGGTCTCCTGGTAGTCCCAGCTAACCTGGAATTCGCTATGTATACCAAGCTGGTCTGGTCTTGAACTCACAGAGATCCCCCTGCCTTTGCCTCCTCTGCTGGGACTAAAGGCATTCACCATCAGGCCTGGCTATAACTTAATATTATTTACATTAATTAACACCTTTTAAGTCTACTGACTACAGCAGCAAAACAAAGTGCCTATGTAAATTGAGGATGACAAATATATGTTATGCTTTTAAAAGATATTAAATTATATAAAAGCGATATAACTCAAATAGAGGAAATCTTAAAATTTAGTAAGTGCTTCACTTGGAGTTTTTCTGAAGTATAAGCAAAAGCTGTACATTAGGGAAATCAAAACTGGAAACTGCAGAGACAGTTAACACAGAACTTCTCTCAACTTCATATAAGTATGGCATTAGATCAGCATGAAAAAGTTGGTAAATGAATATTTATATATTCTAAATTAAATAGTTTAAATAAATATAGTGAGAATTTTCCTGATTTAACCTTTTCAATAACCTACCAACTGTCCTAATCTAAACAGATATGAAGTTATCTACCAGCCTCTTTTCTGAAGCCCTTAAACTGGTTTGATAAGCCAAATGAATAAATCCTATACACTTACACAAAATAATAGCTGTAGTAATAAGCACTCCAAAATGTATTCAAATGCATCCTCCAGAAGGGAAAGGGTCTTTATTTTCACATCTTGGAGATCAAGCACCTAGCACAGTTCTGGTATATAGATGATGCCCAATGAAAACTCACTGAATAAAAGCACTTACCGTGATCACAGCCTTTCTGAGACAGATGGAGCCCCTGCAGCCATATTCTGTCTCATCTTCAGATTTGTAGTAACTCAGAGTATTATTTTTCAAAACTACCCAACGATCCTGCCACCCATGAATATAGTTTGTCCACTAGAGATAGGAAAAGGGAGGGGAGAGAAAAAAATAGTATTTTAGAAATCTAGACTTTCCAGAATTTTACACAAAACTGTGAAAAGTCCTAACACAACAATAAAAAGTAAAGTCCATTAAACAGTAAAAAGTTGAGATTGTATAATGATCTTCAGTAATTTCATATTATTTAATAGCTGAGAAAAATATAACATTTTCTTCATTTATAAAATCAAACCATGCTCTTTACATACTTTCAGCCTCCCCTCTTCACCACCTTCATGACATTTAAGTTATTCTAGCCCACATCAAGAGCAACATGATCAACAAAAAAAATTCAGTTACACAGTCTCTCTCTCATATTAAGTACTGTATAGTCTTCTAAAGAAGTATAATGCAAATTCTCATCAAAATTCTACTCTTGCTTTATTTCCATATGAAAATGGCATAACAATCACAACTATATCCATACCATTAATCTTTACTAAGTCTACATTAGTTTTTTAAAAAAATATTTTATTTTTATTTTATGTGTCTGAGTGTATTGCCTGCATGTACATAAGTGAGTCTGTGTTGTGCGATGCCCACAGGGGACAGAAGAGGCCATTGGATCCCCTGGAACTGGAGTTACAGACAGCTGTTAGCTGCAATGTGGGTGCTGGGATTTGAACCTGGGTCTTCTGCAAGAACAGCCAGTATTCTTACTGCTGAGCCATCTCTCCAGCCCCAAGTCTATGTTAGTTTTAATTTTTCCCCTATAGAACTCACTAGTATATATTTAAAATAATTAATTCATTGACGTTTCCCTAAACTTATATTTTTCTAACCCTGAAGTAAAAATACAAATATAAAGATGGCTTTCAAAAACATATTGGATTATCTATCTTTAGAGTATACTTTAAAAATGATATTTATGCTGCTAAATTCTCAAAGTACAGTGAAGATCACCACCAATAAACTGGCAAAGGAAGAAATCTAATTTGATGAGGATACTTGATTTTTCATATTTTTATTTATGCCTAGGGTTTTAAATATAAACAATTCCAAAAACTAATTTAAAATGGATTGCTAAACTAGCAATCATTTATGTTCCTATTCCTAATTCAGCATGTTTGAGATTCGTTCAGCTTTTAAATCTTGTAAGCCTCATTATTACAAGCCCTCTCTGGGAGCTTACACCCATGTTAACAATTTAACTTATTCTTTTCTAAGGGAGTCTCTGGGTACTGTTTCCTTATTTCTAACTGTTGGTGATTTAACCACCACTTACATACCAACTTGAAACAAATGATGGTTACAAAAAAAACTTTATTCACCTCTTCCTGTAAACTATATTTCCTATGTCATTTTCTTCACTGTGTTGTTACTTCTGCAGTCATGGAGACTTAAGCTGGCTCAGCATGAGAGTATCATATGAACAGAATAGTAGTACATACAGGACTAAACAGACTCGACTTAACTTTTGTTTCATCACCTGTTGTTTGAATGGCTGAATAAAATAATGAAAATGACTAGCATAATCATAAGATACTCAATACCTAACCTGTTCCTTCTTATAGCTTATCATCAAATCTTACAATCTTTCCTTCGTAGTATACTCTTAAATTTGCCTCCTCTTCCCAATTTTCAATGATTCTACTCAACTTACCAGGTTCCTAGATTTCTGAGGCTTAACTTCACCCTTCATATCCACTACTTTTCAATAATCTTATTTGCTTATTAAGCATACTTGCTTACTTATGTTAACACATTAATCTTATTGAGACTCCAGCTCTGAAAGTTACTTGGATAATTTCCTATTCCCCAACACACTAATGGGCCAGATTGGCATTTAAGAATCTACACAGACTAATCCTACCTTGCTTCCTATTAGTACCCTTCATTAGCTAGTAATTGTGACCATAATGCCTTCTATGTGTTTCTCAATTCTCTTAGAGTTAAGATTACATAAGAATAGATTAGAAGACTGATACACATTATTAACTCGATTTGAGGCAGAATTATGCATAGGTAATAAAGCTTAACCATCAACATCTCTCACTAGAACCCTTCCAAAGTGAAAAGAGAAACCCCAGTGATTATGTGTTCATAATTCATGTTATTGTCTTATGGAGGAGCCAACAAATGACATATGCTTTAGGACTAAATAAATATCATCTACTATTATTATACCTGGAAGGCAAGACTTTACCTTTTCTCTGCTCTTATAATATTTGCTTCCACCTACCCATTTAACATGCATGTACAACATTATATGTTAGATACTGTGGGAGAAACAAAGACTCTGGTTGCTAGTTTGGCATCCACAAATTCAACAGAAAAAAGAGAAGTCAGAACCAAGTCTCAAACAAAACAATACAGCAATTCAATGAAAAGAGTTACTAAATGACTTGTTTAGTAAAAGGCTTTACAAAAAGAACAGCATTTGGGATAGACTCAAACAGCCAGGTCTGCTAGGTCATGCCTATAATCCTAGCATTGGGCAACGAGAGTAGATCATGCGTTAGAGTCCAGGCTGGTCTGTACAGCAAGGCTCTCAAAAGAAAGAGAAAAAAAATAAAATAAATAAAAAGGAAAACAAAATGATAAAATTTCAGTCAACAAGTATGTGGTGATGTAAGGTAAATGATGAAAGAAAGAAAGAAAGAAAGAAAGAAAGAAAGAAAGAAAGAAAGAAAGAAAGAAAGAAAGAAAGAAAAAAACTCAGAAAAAGTTGGATAAGATTTAATTTATCCAGGCTTAGTTCCTTTCAAATACTAAGGCATGAACCTTTCTCAACTATGACCCATCCTATTTATCACAGATCCATGGACTGCTATTTATGTAGTATTTTTAGAATATACTCCCTTAAGAAGTATTTAAGAAACATGTCTTGAGCTGGCCAAGGTGGCACATGCCTTTAATCCCAGCACTTAGGAGGCAGAGACAGGTGTTATCTCTGTGAGCTCCAGGCTAGCCTGGTTTACACACTGAGTTCTGCATCAGCCATAGTAAGCCAAACTGCAAGCTCCAGGTTCACCGAGAGACCCTGACTCGAAAAACAAAGTGGTGAGAAGTTGAGAAAGATATCCAATGTAGACCCCTGGCCTCCACATGCAGGTACATACATGCGTATGCTCCCATACATGCACATGCACATAAACATATACACACTAAAAATAAAAGCTTCCAGGAACATTATAATCATAAATTCTTAAATATTAGTAAAATTTCCTTCATAGCTGTTAACAAGGGCACAAAAAGCTTTATTCCTGATGAAGCACAGTAAGACACTGTCTCCAAAAAAAGGTCTCCTTGGTATTTCTGTGTATTTCAAATTACCATACAGGAAAACAAAAACCTTTTCAGCTGTCATATTTTTTAAAATATTTTATTATTTTTATGGGTATGAGTTCATTGACTGCATGTATGTAGGCACATATATATGCCCACTGAGGTCAGAAGAGGGTGTCGGATCCCCTGGAAATGGAGTTATGACAGGTTGTAAGCCACCATGTGAGTGCTGGGAATCAAACCTGGTTCTCTGAAATAGCTGCCAGTGCTCTTAACCACTTAGCCTCAATTGCCATAGCTTTTTAAAATAAATTGCTAGGCCCTTAATTCCAGATCCATTCCATTTGATGAGAGAAGAAATAAAACATTAGCACTGAGCTTTATCTATATAACTCAACAGAAGGCAAAGAACAGATGTTGAATTCGAAGTCTTGTTTAAATTATCAGGTAAACTGTCTAAGTTATCAGGAATTAGAAAAGATTCAAAATATATCACTTACTTTAAAGTTAAAACATGTATCATCCTCAGTGTGAGTATATGTATTCAATATAAATTATCTTTCAGGGGCTGCAGTTATAGCTCAGTAGTAGTACACGTGCCTAGCATGCATGATTTGAATGCAAGATTAGGGAGCATAGGTTTGCTCCCTAGCAATGCTCAAAACAAAACAAAGTACCTTTGATTAAAAGTTTCCAGAAAGCAGATGATTCATTTGTTAAAGTGCATGAAGACCTGAGTTTGATCCCTAGCACTTACAAAAGAATCTTGGGCACAGAGGTTGTGCATGTCTGTAATCTCACATGCCTATAACCCAAGGACTGGGAGGATCCCTGGGGCTTGTTGGCCAACCAGTCTAGCCAAATTGCAAGCTCCAGGTAAACTGTGAGACCCTGTCTCCGAAAAAAAAAAGTGGAAAGGCTGGAGAGAAGGCTCAGTGGTTAAGAGTACTGACTGCTCCTGCAGAGCATCCGAGCTCAGTTCCCAACATGCTGTATAGCAACTGTCCTATAACTCCAGTTCCAGAGGATCTGACGCCCTCTTCTGACCTCCATGGACACTGCATGAGTGCACTTACATACATGCAGGCATACACTCACACACATAAAATAAAAAATAAATATTTAAAAAGACAAATCTGAGAGTAATTGAGAAAGACACCCACTGTAGATCTCTGGCCTCCACATGCAGGTGTACACATGTACATGCTCCCACATATATACACATACATAAACACATTCACACAAAAATAAAAGCTTCCAGGAACATTATATATAGCATGAATTCTTATATTTTAGTAAAATTTCCTTCACAGCTGTTAACAAAGGGCACAAAAAGCTTTATTTCACGTGAGTGTACATATGCACAACAGTCAAAATTACTCCCCTTTCATGGACATGGTTAATTAATATATTTCTACACATTTAAATGCCAGATATAGGGTTTCTGAGGATTTTAGGAAAGGGTTGTTTGGTATGTGTTTTTTTTAGACAGAGCCTTACTACAGGGCCTGATGGGTTGGTCTGGGACTTGCAATCCTCCTGCCTCAGGCTGTTGGGTGGTAGAATTTACAGGTATACACAACTATGTCTGCCTCTCATGTTTTGATTCGCAGTATACCTAGTATACACGAGCTATGCAGAACATATGACTTTTCTTAATCAGTCACTCCAATCCCTCACCACCCCCTCAAATGATGATCAGTAAGTCAAAAGTATAGCTTGTTTTATAAAACACTTCAACAAAATACTAACATGGAAGCCTGCTTCAAAATAGAGAAACTATCAGAATCACTGAGAAGCAAAGAATCCATTTCATACCCATTCCCATTTAAAATGTGAACCCAGGCAATGTGTACACAGATTCCTAAATTACAAAATCCATTAAAAGTTAAACACTGAAGAACTTCACTTTTACTGAAAGCATTAAACTAAAATTTCAAGACTGATCAGAGTATCAACACACAACATAATTTTCTGCTATGCAAATAAAAGTTAACATTTGGAAGCCTTACATCTGACATACTTATGCCTTTCCCAGGCCTTTTCTCATTACCCTTTTTTTGAAGAAATTGTAACAGTCTAATCTCGATTCCAGAAATGATGTTCAAATGATTCTAATATGAATACTGGAAGCTGAGTGATTTCTTTCATAGCCAAGGTTTGCACATGACCTGGTATCTTATGACCAGCTTGCTGAGGGACCAGCCCTCAACTGCTAGCTCTAGGCATTTCTTAAAAGTTTAACAGGAAGGGATAGGAAGTCGAGAAGGCTATGAGTCTTCCCATAGCAAAACCTTAAAATACAAAGCACCATGAACTATAGAACTGATCTTCAGTTCTATAAATGTTACCTCTGAAAGGCTCTTAAAAATACAGAAAAAAGTCTTTCCTTACTGTACAAATATTTTATTACTAAATAATGCTCTTTTCCTGGAAAAAGGTCGGTCTTCACTCTGGCATGTTCCAACTTACTATTAATATTTCTTATATCCATTGCATGAACTTGGGCAAGGGGTGAGGGGGAAAGTACAAAAGTGCTACACATACTTTCAACACTTACGATCACCAACACTTCATAGTTCACTATTTCAGACTGCACGACCAGTCAAAGGACTTGTCTAAATTGCGGCAGCTCGAGTTGAACCCCACCCCCAACCCTATTCTAGTGGGCACCGCCAGACTAATCTCGTTCGAAAGGTCGATTTGAACCGCCTCACGCCCAGTACTCCGGGCACCACGCTGGCCCAACCCGGATTCCTGCAGCCCAGACAGCTGCCGCCTTGGGTTTAAGTTACCAGAAGCACCTCGCCTTCTAAACTGAATCCCGGGCTAAATACACGTTAGCCCAGGTTCTCGGTCGCTGCTGCCAAGCTCTAGGGACCGCGGGGAGGACAGTCCCCGACACCTCCTACCCCACCCCAGGCCCTGGCACTCCCACGCACCGCAGGGCCCCACACCCGGACACATTCCGCAGCCCCCGCCCCGGGACGGTCCGAGTCTCCCGCCCAACCCCACCCCAAGCCCGGAGCCGCTCAGCCCGCCTCGCGGCAGGTGAGTCCGGGCTGCGGGTCCTCCGCCCCGCGAGCTGCTCACCTTGCTGAGGACACCGCAGCGCTCCACAGGCGGCCCGGACTCTGTCTCCGGGTCCTCCTCGGAGCCCGACGAGTTCCAGCTCTGGTTATCCGACATGGAGGCGCGACAGGCGAGCAGGAGACCGGCCCCCGCTCCGCGAGCTGCGCCAGTGCAGGCACCCAGTCCCTGGGGTGTGGGGTCGGGGGATGGCACAGCCAACAGTGCCTGGTCCCGGGCGTGCGGGTACAGGAAGAGGGACGAAGCGCGGCCGCCGCGCCGCGGCCGCCGCGCCTGACACGGAGCGGACCGGGGAAGGAGGACGAGGGGCGAAGGAAGCCTGCCCTTCCAGCCGTCAGCCGCCGTGGCCGTGACCCCTGCGCTGCGACCGGCGCCGCCACCCGAACTCGGCCCCCTAGATGCCAACCTCAGTCAAGGAGGGAGGAGGAGAGGAAGGCGGGGAGCGCAAAGCCGACCGCAGGGAGCAGGGTCCGCTCACACCTCCGCCACGGCCGCCATCTTCCTGCCGGGCCCACTATTTACCCTCCCTCCACTCGCCGCTCCCTCCCCTCCGTCGTTCCATCCTCCCTCCACCCCGCCCCGTCCCCCTCCCGGCGCCTCGCGACACTCCCTACCTCCAGCCCTCCCGGGTGACGACGGGTAGGGAAGGAGGCGGAGCGGAGAGAGGAGAGGGCGGGATGGACATGCCGTTGCGCCGCATTCTGGGAAGGACGCCGCTCCGTTCGCCGCGCAGCCTCCTGGGAGTTGTAGTCGGAATCCTAGGCAACTGGTGTGTGTCCGTGACGCGGAAGGCTTTGTCGCCCCGGGGGGACCGGGGGACGTGCAGTGGGCTTCGTGTGAGACAGTTGCATGGCGTGATTGTGAAGAGCCCTCGGTGCTTGCGAGCCAGGAAGTGAGAACCCACGAGCCAGGTGAGGAGGTCGGGTTGTCGCGCATGGCTGCTCTCAGGGAAAGTCCGGAACATCTTCGAGGTTTGCCTGGGCAAGAATGTATGGGGCGCTGCTGCTCATGCTCTAGAGGGGATTTTTGTTTCCCAAACTGTCTTTGTAAATCCGGAAGGACTTTTCTATCTTGCTTTTTAGAAGTTAGCCTTCATACTTGACGTTTACCGCGGGTGAGGAATTCCTTCAGTCAGTTTTCACGGTTACACTTATGGAATTTGTATTTTGTGGAAAATAAGGTTGAGGTTGTCAGAGAATAAGTGACTTTAAACGAGTTGTTTTTAAGTAAACGGTGTCAAACAACATCCTGAAATTTTCTGCTCTGAATGACCCTGAGAAGCATTGTTAATCTGTCTCTGAAAGGTAGAAAAGATTGAATAGAAAGCTGGGTATGGTGGCGCATGCCTTTAATACCAGCACTTGGGAGGCAGAGGCTGGTGGATCTCTGTGAATTCCAGGCCAGCCTGGTCTACAAAGCGAGTTCCAGGCCAGCTGGGGGTATAGGGAGATCCTGTCTGAAAAAGACCAAAATAATAACAACAACAACCACCATAATAATATTGGATAGAAACGTTCTAGCATAAAATCAAAATGCAAGTTTTATTGAATGGTAAGGGATTAGGCAATAAGTGGCTATCTTTAAGATTAGAATTAATGGATAGAGCAACAGAAGATCGAACACATGTCAGTATTTTTGCTTACATTGGAAAGATAAATTTATTGTAAGAATTTTGACTTTGTAGGGTCAGGTCTTTCCTATAGCTTTGTATCTTGTCGATTTCCTGATAATTGCCAACAGTAAAATTCCTTATTAAAATATTTTATTATTATTTTTTATGTGTATGCCTGTATAGGTAAGTGCACTTGTGTCGTGCAATGCCCGCAGAGGACAGAAGAGACTGTCAGATTCCCTGGAACTGGAGTTAAGACAGTTGTTAGCTGCCATGTGGGTGCTGGGATTCGAACCCAGGTCTTCTGCAAGAAGTCAGTGTTCTTAACTGCTGCGCTATCTCTCCAGCCCCAAAATTCCTTATTAAACTGAAGAAAAACTATCTGCCTGTGCCCAAATGGGAGAATAAGAGGAAATTTTGAATGTGAGGGTAAAGACACAATGGTTAGAAATGACTCTGGTAGCAATGGAAGAGGCCAACACTTTAACTGCGTCTTAAGGACAAAAAGCAGTGATAGGAAGTGTCTCTGAGAAGTACTCCTGATAGCTTTCATTCTTGAAGATTGACACTAAGTGTAATAGATAGTAAATCTGCTGTAAGTCAGTTACAAATCATTTTATACTAAAATCGTGACTGTGCATAATTGAAAGAAATCAGATGAGATAAAGCTTTTGAAAATACCTTTGCAAGGTGTTAAAAACATAGTCCCAAGGTTGTCATTCAAAAACCCACTTACTGAATTTTAGGAAGTATGCTTTTAGAATGTCTTGATTTGCTTTGGGAGCCCAATATTGTTAGACTCTGTTCCAGATTCTTTCAAGTACTAGGTTTTAGAATCATTCTTAATTAAATGATTGTGAAGTATTGAGAAATTCACTTCACAATGCAGTTTAGACTCATAGAAACATAGTGTATGTTTATTTTTAAATTGAACTTTCTAATGTATTTTATGTCTTGCCTGAGTTTTGCATAATGTGACCATCAGCACCTAGGTCACTAAGGTACCCACTTACTCAGTAGGAAATTTCTTCATTATATTTGGTATTTATAGATGAGAAACCCTTGTTACATTCATTGCTCCATTTTACTTATAAGGCTAAGATATTTTAAGTAATAGATTTTTGTATCATGATTAGATTGCCACATTGGAGTTTGTGATTTACATCATTACTGTTAATGGAAAGAAATAGCAATGCAAGAATGAGGTACATGAACTTTCTCATTCAGTGATAAAAATAAAAGCTTTTCAGTTGTCTGTCTTACTTAGGTCCTTCTCCAATCATCTTATAATGTTCTTTATTTTTGAGAGCTTTATATTTTTATTTTTAGAACTTGTGTAAACATGGACTTTATTTTAGTATATTAAATGAAAGGAATTTCATTGATTAAAAAAAAAAAACAACAAATGGCCATTTGGCCCAGCACTTTATTGAACAGCCTATTCTTACTCTTAAATACCTTTATGATACCCTTATGATTATAAAATCCCTATATACAGGCCTATTAATGGACTTCATTCTTCTTTATTGATCTGTTTATATCTAAACTATTCTGTACTGATTTAATTACTATTTAGTTTTCATATATCTCCATATTATATATATAATAGTAAAATATTCCCGATGTTCTTTTTCATTTGGATATTTTCTATATCTTTCATATATATATATATAAAATAGTAAAATATTCCTGGTGTTCTTTTTCATTTGGATATTTTCTATATCTTCTTTTTCCAAATGAATATTATAGTAGTTTGTCAATTGTTTGAGAAACTGTGTGAAGATTTCAGGCTGGGGAGATAGCTCAGCTAGTGAAGTGCCCACTTTTCAAGCATGAGGACCTGAGTTCAGATCCCTAGCACCCATGTAAAAGCTAGGTAAGACAGGACACATTTATAACCCTAGAGAGCAGGTAGCTCCTGGAGCTCAATGGCCAGCCAGCCCAGCTGAATTGGTGAAGCTCCTAGACTCAGTGAGAGACCCTATCTTAAAAAATAAGGTGGAGCCAGGCATGGTGGTGCACACCTTTAATTCCAGCACTTGGGAGGTAAAGGCAGGCGGATCTCTGTGAGTTCAAGACCAGCCTGGTCTACATAGTGAGTTCCAGGACAGTTGGGGCTACAGGAAGACCCTGCCTCAAAAAAAAAGACCAAAAGTAATTATGTGGAAAGACAGAGTTAGAGGTCCAGACAATGGGGAACGAAGAAAGAAGAAGGGAGGATGAAAAGTGAGGACAGGAAGGAGACACACACACACACACACACACACACACACACACACAAGTATACTTACTGGGAAACATCCACATGAATATGAATATGTACATTTACCACAGACACATATGCAAGCACACGGCAAAGTGTGAAGATTGAGACGGCATTTAACTAATAAAGAAATTACCTCCTTTTAAATATGTCATCTGACATAGCTTAGAAGTCATCTAAGTGAAGCATTGTTGATCCATTGTCCCTTGAAGGATAATGAAACTGAGACATGGAGTAATTTATAAAGTAAACTCAGTAATTTATAACAGAGTGAATATTTGAATTCATCTCATTTACTTCAAAGCTTATATAAACCCTTTCCTATGCTTTTTAGTATCTCAGTGGGAGGGATTGTATCAAAAATGTGTTCTGTAGATAAGTGTATCCAAGCCACCTGTGCTTTTAATTCAGCTAGTGATTTTTAATATTTTTCTTTTGTCATCTATTGTCTTATTTAACTCAACATCAATTCTATAGCATTCATTATTACCTTCTATTTCTTATAGTTCAGATGAAGAAAACCACCAAAAGGTTAAATAGTTTTTTAAAAGTCATTCAGGTAGTATTTGAGGTTTGAGCCCAAGTATCCAGCTTCCAGAGTTCATTTTTATCCCAATGAGTTCTTCCTCAGTTCTGTCCTAATTCTTCCATCTCACCCACATCATTTCTCTAGTGGGAATTCCATCATATAACAGTCTCAAAGTCTTCCTGTGCCTAATATTTCCAAGGCCAACATCCAGAAGCCCAAACCCCCAGAGGTGGTGGAAGTGAAAATGTACTTTCGTGATCAGTGTATAGAGGGACGAAGGGCCTGTGGCAGGAAAGGATGTGCAAAGTTGGAATTGAGAACCTTGTCTTAATTGTTTTTGTAAATAGTACTTACTATACAGAGCTTCTCTGTTAGTCAGCATAGGTTGCCATAGCACAGTAGAGACCGAGGGTCTCTGCTTCTCGTTTTGGTCTTATAAGGTCACATCTCCCCTCCCTTCTGACTTCCTTTAATCTTGATTACCTCCCTAGCGTCCTTGTCTCCAGATACACTCACACTGAATGTTAGTGCTTCAAAGATGAGTTTTGAGGAACACAGTTCAGTCCATAACAAAACCTATTTTTCTATATTCCTATAATATTCATTATAATAAAGATGCATTTTGAGTTAATGCTTTGTTAGCTAACCTAGAAATTTAACTGTCCTTTATAAAATTGTTCCCACTTCCAAACTGAATTATGATCAGTTAAAAATTGGAACGTTTGGGGCTGGAGACATGGCTCAGTGGTTAAGAGCACTGGCTGCTCTTGCAGAGGACCTGGGTTCGATTCCCAGCAACCACATGGCAGCCACAAATCGTCCTTAACTCCAGTTCCAGGGGAATCCGAAGCCCTCTTCTGACCTCCACGGCATTGCACGACATGGGTGCACTCATATACATGCAGGCAATACACTTATACACATAAAATAAAAATAATAAATAAAATATTTAAAAAAGAATTATTTAAAAAATTGGGACGTTTTTGTAAGAAACATGATTTTTCAGACTTCAAAACAGAGGAGTTAATCTGTGAAATAGAGGTAATATGAGCAGCAGTCTGAATGTGAGGCTGCGTGGTAGTCTGTGCCTCCAGTTTGCGTACTCAGGAGGCTGAGTC